GGGATGTCGACACTCAATAAGAGGCCCTGGGAACTTGGTTCATTCTTGGGTGGCTGGTTCCCGAGTGAAATAGTCCGACTCCGCTGGGGAGTTCGATCGCTTCGGACAGGGACCTTCCTGGGCTCTATCTCAATTTTCGGCCACTCCTCCGTCGAGTTCTTTCTCAGTCTTGCCTTCTGCGGCTTCTCTGGTAGTTTATAACCGTGGCCTTGTGGCTTGGCCTCGCTTTCTTGAGTGCTATTCGGGAGTGGTGTAAGCGCATTCTTTGCCTTGAAGAACCCGCCGATCTTCTTCCACTTGCTGGGTTTATGGCCTGGATCTCTTTCTGCAAAAGTGGATGTATCAAATCTGGGTGGCGGTAGAGGCCCGTCTTTGTTTAACATGCCGGGACTACCCAACGCAATGCCAATCATGTGTTGCTCGGTTTGGGCACGGTCTGGTCGAGTGGGAATGGCTTCATCTGGTGGCGCGGTTATGCGAAAGTCGAAAGTAGCACCTTGGTCCGGGGGTGGCTTTCTGAACCACCCATCTCCCGTAGAGGGCTGGCTGAAATCCCACTGCCCAACCATTGGATGAGCTGGTTGATGTGAGGTCTCATCAAGAGCGTGAAGGTCACTCCGTGGCAAGGCATCGCTATAGGTCAAAACAGGAAACGAGATGGTCTCCTTTGGTTGAGTGCGAGACTGGACTGCCGTCATACCCGTGCCATCTCTCTTACTAGTATATTGGAATCCAGCCAACATGCAGTATAAAGTGAGTGTAAAGAATAAAGAAGAAGAAAGGTAAGAGAATGATATTAGAAAAAAAATTTCCAGGTAAATAAGAGATGGGCCTTCCAGAAGGCCAGCAAAAATCAAAGAAAAACAGAACAGAACTTGAAGGGTATACCTAGGTAGCCCAGTATATTAATGAAAAGGTCGAATAAATTGAGTGGAGCATTCAAAAACCATGTAAATGAGACAAATTAATTGCTCAAATCTGCTAGAGGTAGTCTGGGACCGAACCAAAACATAGGAAACAAGCCCAAAATTCCACTCTTTTGCGGAATTTGAGGGGTGTCTCAGCGCTAATATCAAACCTGTGTGAGATGCTTATTTCCCACGGGACGAATGAGTGCATCGGTCGCGGATTGATTAGCTCGCTACCACGTAGGAAAGGGGAGCCAAATGTAGGAGGCGTGTTTCATCTGGCCAAAATTGAGACAAGGGCGTTTTATTCGGCGTTTTACCCTTGAATCAGGGGGCGATTCAGCCGCTGGAGCAGTCCGGAGTAGCATTGATAGAACTTGCCCACATATGCACGGCTCATGAAGGTCGTGAATTCTCCGATTTTGGATTATGAGTGGTCAATTCGACGTGATGCCAAGGCTATCTCTGGTTCCAATGGTATGTCTCAAAAGTGCCGGATATTAGCCGAGAAGATGTCCTAAACAGACTAGTCATTAGTTGAAGTAACGAACTAACTAACAATGGAGTAGCGGTCAAATTTGAAGTTCTCAGATTCAGACAGTAAGGCATTCAGGCACTAAGGCATTAAGGCAGCCATTGTCATGATCGAGTCCCGTGATGATCGACGGTACATAAAGCGACTGAGCTGACTGGACTGGGCTGGCTGGACTGGACTGGTAGCGGGATGCTATATGTATGTCATACATATCATTATGAGTGTTTTGGATAGACACATCCAAAAATGTGTTGATGTTAAGCTATTCTGTATATTGTTGACATCTCCCACCGCTACTTGGTATAGTTAAAAGAGAATATCGGACTATACACACCTACATCCTATATACATGTACAGGTTATAATGTCCTAACCAGACATAGATGAAATGAATAGTATATTCGAAAATGAATCAGTAAAATAAACAAATGTATAAGCTTGGTATCCCAAGTCAGTTGCAAACGGTGGGATCGTCATGGCGGGGTCCTCTCCCGACCGCCACGACTTCTTCTCCCCCCACTAACTCCTCTTCTCCCAGCTCTCCTTTTTCTGTACATTCAAAAGGTGTGCACCCTTTCTCCCTTCTTCTTCTTCTTCTTCTTCTATTGCCTGACCTCTAACTCAATCAACTCTAGCGTTGTCTCAGCTTCTTTACAGTCATCATGGGCGAACACTCCGCAATCTGGCAAGGTATGTTTCACCTCGAAAGTGCAGACTGCAGACTGACAGTTCAACCCTTGCTTCTTCGAGTCCACTAACATAAGATTTCTCCTTGAACTAGGCTATGTCGACTCCAGGTACATCACCGCTATCCTCGGCCCCTGATATTCCCCTCATTGTTACCGACCCCAACTCATCTCACTGTTTCAACCCCGAGGTCCTATACATATGCTGACATACTTCTTTCTCACAGCCTGATGGGCTCAGGTCAATTTGACAAGGCTGGTATTCTCGCCGCTGACTTCTCCGGCCTTGAGGCTGCCTCCCCCGGCTTCACGGTAAGCTCGCCTGTTGTTTTTCCCCCGTGCGGGGTGGGGTCACGGACTTCGACACAGTCGCTAACGTTATCGTTTTGTCGAAATACAGCTCTCCCAGGATGAGATCAACTCCCTGATCAGCGCCTACACTTCTAGTGACAACGCCTTTGCCAATGGCGTCTCTGTCTGCGGTGAAAAGTTCGTGGCTATCAGGGCTGACGAGCGCAGTGTATATGGCAAGAAGGTAAGCATGTCGTTCTCTTCGACCTAGAAAAAGCCCTCGCGCTATATAAACCCATAACATCAAAATCCGTGCTAATCTCTTTGTATGTGATATAGGGCAAGGAGGGTGTCGTTATTGCCCGTGCCTCCTCTTGCACCATCATTGCCCACCACAACGAGAGTGTCCAGACCACCAACGCCGCAACCGTTGTCGAGAACCTTGTCGACTACCTCAACAACCCCCGGTAAATTGGCAAATATGCAATGATAACTAAATGATGTGATGAGTTGTGGGGTTTGTGAAGAATAAGAAATAAAGGAGCATTTGACTATTTCCCTCTTGAGCCCAGCGGGCTGTTTCGCTTATGCTTCTTTTCTGGCTTTGGTGACTGGATCTCTTTACCTCAATGGGCTCCGTCGGTCTAGGAATGGTCCCCAGTGCACAATATGAGGATGCGAACCAGATTTGTATGATGCACAATGTAATTTGTCTCTATTCTAACATGCATATTAACTGAGTACCAGCTATTAAGTCAACGCTGGAAGATCAATAAGGGTCATTATTAATTACATAAAGCTGAAGGCCATGGGTGGATCGTACCATCCCGTGACACATGTATAGCACAGCCTACTTGGACGTCTCCAACCAGGGTGATGGGCATCTGATATCCCATGATCGTACATGATAAAGTCCGCATATCCAAATTTTAGGATAGCATCGGGGAACCTCATCACCAAGTCCCTGCTCGTGTACACTCATACAGGAAGCTCAGCATTTCTCCTCCCGCCAGCAAGCACTTCCAACCCACGCTGGATATACGGCCCTACCACGGGGATGTTGCCCGCAAATTGACCGATCGTGACAAGGAAGTCGCCAAACAAAATGAACAAGCCGTAGAGTTCAATCAAAAACCCAGTCAAAGGCCAGCGGAAGAGAATAAGGAGGATACCAGCGGCGAAAGCGGCAGTGCCCTTGAGTTTTTGCGGGCGCGTGAAGAAGACCATGGTTTTCTGGACACCGATAATGAGGGTCAATCCGATGAGGAACAGGATCTAGCATTGTTAGTTGAATGTGACAGTTTCGTTGGCGCATGGTGGCGTACATTTCCCATAGCAAGTCTATTAAACCGGTATTAGCTTTCATTTCAGTTCAAGAAAAAAGCGACACATCGGTATGGACATACAATGACCGATCAAAGAACATAACTACTCCTCCAAATAGGAACAAGCCTCCTAATCAGCAGCAAAATCGGTTAGTTCTCGGTCTAAGTGATCCTTGCTCCGGAAATGTCGATCTCATACCAGCTGAGCAGAAGATCACACCGATCTCTATATTGTATTATATAGATTAGCATATGCTCAAAGATTGCTATACATGCACTGTCATGGCAGTGAACATCACAGCTTAGAATGTATGCGACTGACTCTGGTTCTCTGATAACCACATGCTAGGCATCTTTGTTTATTTCGGACTTGACTGGTGATGATATATGGTACCGAGGGTTGCGCAAATATTCTCGACGTTGTGTTAGAACACGCGACACTTGTCAGTGCGGTCTTTGGTTGCGGAATCGGTAGGGCAAGAGGCCAGGTAGATACGGCAGAGACGAAGCGAAGATATGGCGTTGTTTCAAGGCGGGAGCGAGTCTTTTGTTGAAACAGTAATTTCACAAGCTTAGAAATTTCCCGACAAGGGTCAAAAGGTAGCAAAAAGTCTCCAGGCACGTAAACAGAACACAACTCGAAAATCACAATTCTGCCGTGTAATCGGCGCCAAGTCGGGAATGGTAGGCGGTGACTCTAAAGTGCTTATATCGCGCACTGATCATTCCGTCTCTCCTCTTCCTTTACAGTCTTCTCCAATTTATTGGCAATTGAACAAGGTCATTAATGATGTGATCGTTCCAATTGCGTAGATTTTTTCAGTTCTAAATCTACTGGTATTGAGACACAATGATGAGCATAGCTCAAACATACTGCTACCCGCTATTGCAGAATCTTCCATACATGTATTTTGTACATGCCACGCCGCGACGACAGTCTCTTCGGATTCTGTAACTGGTGCCCTGTCCCATGGGGTGTCGGTAATAGTTGAGTGCTTATGCACAAGGCGAAGATTGACTCATTGATCACGAATAAGCCGGAGCGTTTTCTTGAGCCTGTCTCGAAAGGGGCATGGTGGGGTGGAAAGGGCTTGACTGTGTTGGTCGTACATAACGCTTCTTGACGATTCGTATTTGTGTCTAGTTGAATTTATTAGTAGAGCTCTTACTATCCAAATTCGTTCCCCCTATTACATACCCATTCTCGCATGATCGTTCGTTTGGGAATTGAATAAAGTAGGCCTCTTGCCAATCCTTTACTTCAGAATGGTGTGCGCCCCGCGTGCTTCCAGGTAGCTTTCGGGAACACCTTGTGCCAGAGTGCGGATCACCTTGAAGATCTCCTTGTCGTGATACCGCAGCCGGGTCTTGGGGTCGGTATATGGTCCGCTCAGGCCCGTGATGTCGCAGTAATGATGGCGGTAGGCAGGGTTAAACGATGGTGCTGATTCAATATTTGTGTAGGTGACGGCGGGCCCGGTCTGGAATGTCGCCCGGGCATTCTTCTCCAGACGAGAGTCGAGAGGTTTTGGGTGGCCTGGGATAAGTTGGGTCCAGCCCCTTCCGCAGGGGTTTGTGTTCCATCAGTGACCATGCCCGAGGTTCCCGGCGTAGTTGCGCCTGAGTTGGCTTGAGTTGCCATCACTGATGCCTCCTTCCGGGAGGCCTCTGAGATGATCTGCTTGAGATTCTTGTTGCGCCGCTGGGAGGGTTTCCAGTGAGGGTTGCGGAAGGGCTTGGGGACATGTGAAATGTCTAAAGAGTTCAACAGCTGCTGGTGAGCTTCATCGTTGGCGGGAGTTGGTGGAGGCATGATATTGAATAGGATTCAGGCCACTGGTCTGGTCAATTGGGAGGTTGAGGCGGGAACAGCTCTAAGCTTGGCTGTGTGGATGGATGAAAGTATCAAGACCGGGGTGGGGATGGGAGTAATCAAATAATATTAGATGAGTTGGCAGCACTTGGTTATATAGTATAGGGCACTTGGAGAGGGATCTCAAACGGACAAGGTCAGATCAACGTAGAAAGCAATGCAAGTAGTATCTCAGGCCCGCGAAGTCTGTATAGCCACACGTGATCTCATCCCGATTAAGCCCAAATAAACATCTTAACGTCCAACACCAACACGCCGTTTCTCGTTATTCAGCCATGGTATGCGATTTCTTTTCTAAATGTTGGTATTTATATGGTCTGAAAGGCCCTGGATGCTGATACCTCCTTAGGAAAGTCCCCACGAGCATCAGCAGACGGTGCTGCTTTCTCGCATCATCACCAACGTTGTATGTCATGATTGAACCACATCTGCCAGGTGTGTTTTGCTCATTTTTGATATAGGAGAAGCTCAATGAAGCCATTATGGTCATGAACAAAGGTCTCCAGGTAAGGTTGAGTCTCTGCCATTGATATGATCATTCTATTGACTCCCGATCACAGGAAGTCAACATCCAGAACATGAATGTTGAGCTCGTGGCGCAGATGTTCAAGAATTACCAGTCTAATGTTCTCTTCCACCTTGAAGGTAATGTATTCCTATATTATCGTCTATCAACTTTGACATTCTCTTCTGACACCATATAGCCACGGAGAACCTCCAAGACCCATCCTAAAGAATTCCCAAGGAAGAACAAATTCCTGTAACGAAGAAATGTGTGGATGAGCCTACAATTAGTAAATGATACCTTCTTCCAAATTCAGTAGGCACGTGTAAATGGTTGTAATCATTGCATCCCTGTACTCCGTACTCTGTACTCTGTCCGAGATAGCCTCCATTCTTGGCGATCCAACTCCGTCAAACCTCATCAACCGCCAACCGCGTTTGCGTCGTTTGCCTCTTCGCCAATCCTCTGCCCTCTCTACGGGTCCATTGTTTTCCTCCTATCCCAACATAATTTCCCATGCAGTGAGCCCTACTCGCCATCTACGATATCCGATCCTAAGAGCTCCTGGTTTCCGGAGTGCAGCCCGCCATGACGATTACCTCCGTGCACACCCTGCTACCAGCTCGGGTTGCATCCAATGCCACTGAAAAACGAGCTGAGAAGCCTCCTCCACGACTCCACGGTGTACAAGACTTTCCATTCAAGGGCTATCACCCTCCGCAGCCCGAGGGATATCAGCAGAGCAAGGCCCATCCTGACACCAGCGCTATCGTCATTGACAATGGTAAGGCATTCCAGATATTTTGCGATTCAACCCTCCTAACAAATGCGGTTCATGCGCAGGCTCCCATCTCGTCAAAGCCGGTTGGTCTTTTGACAAAAACCCCCGATTTGCCATACCTCCCGTCATGAGCCGATACCGTGATCGCAAGCTCAATCGCCAGTGTCAGTTTATCGGATACGATGCCTACGTCGATGCAACCACGAGGGGGCAGCTGCGCAATGGTTTTGACCCCGGTTCCAGTGTTGTCGGTAACTGGGACGTCATGGAAGGCGTGTTGGACTATTTGTTCCTCAAGCTGGGCGTCGACGGTGCAGATGGGGGCGTCGGTCGCCCGATCTTGATGACAGAGCCAATTGCCAATATGGCATATTCAAGGAAGAGTGAGTGTCTCGCGATTCCGGGGCCAGTATGGTAGTTGCTGACACTCCTTCAGTGATGAATGAGATCCTCTTCGAGTGCTACTCTGCGCCATCAGTGGCCTACGGTGTCGATTCCCTTTTCTCCTATCGCTATAATGGGGGAACAGACGGTTTGATTGTGGATTCATCGCATACGTCCACTCATGTCATTCCGGTCATGAACTCCAAACCCATGTTCTCCAACAGCACTCGTCTCAACTGGGGCGGCCTGCAGAACGCTGAATACCTGATGAAACTTATGAAGCTGAAGTATCCGACCTTCCCAACTCGTTTGACGGACGCACAGATGGAGGAAATGGTTCACAAGCACTGTTATGTCTCACAAGACTACGATCGAGAGTTAAATGGGTTCCTCGACTGGACAGGACTTGAGGACCGTGACCGCGTCATTCAGTACCCATTCACGGAACATATTGTGCAGGAGAAGACCGAAGAAGAGCTCGCGCGGATTGCGGAGCGCAAGAAGGAGAGCGGCCGTCGCCTTCAAGAACAAGCCGCAAGGATGAGACTTGAGAAACTAGTCAAGAAGGAACAAGAGCTGGAGTACTGGAAAGACCTGCAAAATAATCTAGCCAACGAGACTAAGAAGGAGATTCGTCGCATCCTGGAAGCGGAGGATTTGAAAGACGAGGCTGCCCTTGAGAAATTGATTCGCGAGCTAGAGAAATCTATTAAACGCTCGCGCAACAAGGACCTAGGCATTGAAGAGACCGAGGAGCAGCCTGAGGAAATGACATTCCCTATGCTCGATATCCCAGACGATCAACTGGATGAGGCCGGATTGAAGGAAAAGCGGCATCAACGTCTTATGAAGTCCAACGTCGACGCCAGGCTGCGGGCCAAGGAGGAGAAGGAGCGCGAAAAGGCTCGTATTGAGGAAGAGGAGCGTCTGAGCCGAGAGACTCGTGAGAACGATTTCGAGAACTGGATTGCAAAGCGCCGCAACAATCGCCAGGTATGCTGGCCAGGCATGACATTTTAAATTCCCGTGCTAATATTTCTCAGAACATTCTACAAAGAATCAAAGATCGTGATCGCTTCACGGCTGATCTTGGCAATCGCAAATCTCTGGCCAGTCAGATGCGTATGAAGACGTTGGCCAACCTCGCATCGGACGGTCCTAAGAAACGCCGTCGTGGCGGGGATGACGATGACTTCGGTGCCAATGACGAGGACTGGGGTGTTTACCGCACTGTGGCTGTTGGCGAGGGTAGTGACGATGAAGAGGAGGAGGATCTCAACGGTATGCTCGATTCTGTGGAGAAGGAGCTCCTTGAGTACGATCCTGAATTCAGCGAGCACAACACTTTCGCCGCCCAGTCCGACTGGACAAAGAGTCTTGTGCACGCGTTCCTTCGCGGGCCCTGGCCTTTCGATCCGGAAAGTCAGCGGGAGGCACACCAGCTCCATCTGAACGTGGAACGTATCCGTGTTCCTGAGGTTGTGTTCCAGCCGTCCATTGCTGGCCTTGACCAGGCTGGTCTGATCGAGATCGTGGCGGATATCATTAACCAACGCTATACCAACCCAGCAGACCAGTCCCTTCTCTTGAAGGATGTGTTCTTGACTGGAGGAAATACGTTGTTCACCGGTTTCGATGAGCGCTTCCGTAAGGAAGTCCGTGGGTTCCTACCCATCGATGCTACATTGAATGTACGCAAGGCATCGGACCCCGTCTTCGATGCTTGGAAGGGCGCGGCACAATGGGCTTCTGGTGGTGACCTAGGCCGATCCTCAGTCACGCGGCAAGAGTACATGGAGAAGGGCAGCGAATACATCAAAGAGCATGACCTTGGCAATGCTACATGGTGAGGGTAAAAAAGCGAGTTCCGAAAATATCTGCTTGGCGCACTGGAGTCGAATGGTCTGCTTATCTGGCGTGGTATAGGGCATGTTTATTTGATACTTAGATGTTATTGCAGAGTCCGGCGGTAGTAACGAAATATGACATGTTCAGCCCTCCATATGAATAACTACCCCAGACAACTATGATAATAGAGCCTTGCTTTCAACGGTAACGTTTTTACATTTTACGACTCTCCCATCAAATCTCACATTATGCTATACATATGTATGCTTCTTGATACCTCTCACAATTAGCTTAACTTCTCCGTCTCAGAATGGCGGAGACAACTATACAACATACATCTGGCAAGCGACCCGCAGTATTCATTTCCCAGAGTAAGACACCCTCCTTGCATCTATCAATGATGTTTAAAGTTGGGGGTCTCAGACATCTTTTATGCATGGCCTCTGGGGTAATTCATGTCATGCTTGTTTGATGTCAATAGCTTCTATTAACCAATAAAAAGCCAACAGCTCTGGAATTTTGTTCTCGGCTATGTCGGAACATTCTTATAGACTAGTCCATCCACGACATGATCAGTCGAGGACAACCATGTTGTACGAACGAATATGATCTATTGCACTAGTTACACGACACATTGGTGTGGCCATCACTGGCATCACTTAGAATTCCTAACGTTCAGACAATAGAAATATAGTTGTGTCTCACTTGAATGTTATGAAACTCGCTGATCCAAGTCCAAGTGAGCAAAACCTTGGAAGGGATGACACTATCCCTGGATAACAGCCAACGCTTTTAATAAGGCTGAAGCCACTGTCGATCATGTCGCAGGCAGGGAGAACCCCGCTATTGGGTGATGCTGCAGGTGGTAGTCTTGTTCCTCAGTCTGGTTATGTAGCTGTGGTGCAATATACCTCGCTCTGATTGGCACTTGGTAACGATCACATCACGAGGTCTATCCAGACGTTGGATTATCTTCCGCGGGCTGCCGACTGGGCTTTTCGTTTGTTTGACGTGATCACCTAGGTAGTTTTCTTCATCTAAACCGTGGAATTGATTTGAGCTATCTCCCTTGCGCACGAGAACATGACATCGTCATTCCCATAGATGCAGGTATCAACTTCGTATAAAAAACAGGATAAACTGAACTTATCCGCATGATATAGTTCGGATAGCTACACAAAGTAAAAGGAAAAAAGCAATCTTGAATTGCCTCTTCTTCGAAGAACCTGCAATGATAGACGAGGCCAGATTTGGATCTGGGCCAGACTTGGATTCTGACTTCATGCAGAGGCCATCATGACGCACCTGGGGAATTCTTGCTTTTTCGTCCTTGCTGGCCCTCTGGACTGTAAATCTTGTTGCATGATACCTGGCGTCAGTCTTGTTTTGATTTTGATTTTTTTTTCCCTTTTTTCCTATTTCCTTTTTTTCGGCTTTGGTTGGTTATATAGTTCCTGGAACCAGTGATGCTGGGATGATCTGTTCGGAGATATAAATCCTGCTTGCTCTGCCGTGGAAGTTGATTCTTATTTCTTTCTCGCTTTTATTTCCTCTTATCTATTCCTGGACTATCTCGTAGGCGTGTCATACTGGGCCTTATTGTGTCCCTTTTTCAGTTTTTGTATACTTCTTAGCCCTTTCACCACACACAATGCTCTTCTCAACAACCATCGCTCGCCCACTGCAACTGCTCACTCGCGTCCTGCAGTGGGCTAGCGCTGTCATTGTCATGGGCCTGACCTCGTTCTTCATCAACCGTGGTCCCCGTGGCCAGCACACCATCTACCAGGAAGTCATTGTACGTGATTCGCGATTTTTTTTTTCATTAACCGATGATTATAGAGCCATTATCTCTAACCACAAGCTTAGGCCGTCCTCTCAGTCGTCTTCTTCCTTCCGGCGTTCATTTCGCCATTCATGCCCTCGTCGTTGAGCAGATTCGTGCTCGCTATCGACGTCGTCTTCTCCTACCTGTATGTGAACCTCCAATCATATTGCCTACATCGAAGTCTCTAATATCCATTCTAGCTGGTTGACTGCCTTTATTTTCGCCGCACAAGACTACAGCGGGAGCCGGTGCTTCTGGTCTATCCCCGCAGGCGTCGATTGCAAACGCAAGAGGGCCAATGAAGCTTTTATCTTCCTAGCTTTGTATGTGGCCCGAATTTCTTCCACCTGCTGTTAATTGGTGAAAACTAATATCGTCGCAGTATCTTCACTTTCTTTGGCATGTTCCTTGAAGTCGCTGGCCTCTGGGCCTATCGCAAGGAAAACAGCACCCACCACACCAATGATAAAGCCAATTCTGGGCCCCGTCCACCTCTTGATGCGCCCGCAGCTCCTGCTGGAACTGTCTAATCAGTGTGTCGTCTACCTTCCTGGACGGATATACGTCTACCATCACTTGGCAAGGTCAATGGTTGTGGATATACCATTTACTGGTTAAGGAAACCGACTTGGGCTTACTTCACGTTGTATTTGGGCTTCTGGTTTCTCTACCTGTTCTTTTTTTGGGGGTTCACCTCGATGAGCTTGGATTTGACACTGGCTGGATTGAACATATGTTACTACGAGCCGGGATGGGTGCAGGGTGAGGTTGATATCGATGGATAGTACTGCGTACATCCATCACAGAGTTGGTGATACCTTTGTTCAGTGTGCTTTCTCTTAATACCTTAATCAATTAATTACTTCATACTGTAATCGAAGCCTTGGGTGGTCGATATCGTGTTTTCTTTTCCCTTTCTCAATCAACACATACAAGATGGTATGGCTACATACTTAAGCGGCCTCTCTTAACTCTCTAGCATTATGTTTTGCTTTTCTAGAACACCTGTCAGGAATAGCCTTGGAAGCAAATGGCACGAATGCCAGCAAAACTATATTTCTATTCTCTGTCTGGCTATGTACAGTATACGCTGAATGTACAGGTTCAATAAAAAAAAGTCACCCAATCGGTATCTCGAGCGAGAAAAAAAAAAAGGTTCCAGTACCGAGGAGAGCAAACCGTATGCAGTGTTTGAACACCGATACTAAAAGGTCAAGTCGTCGCTTCATGGACTCGGAATATCATGCAGGGAGTGAGTTGAAGGATCATGTTGAAATTGTTAGATACTAGCTCGCCGAGGAGCCATCGTCCGCTGCAGCTTGCGCTTTTCCTCGGTTTCCTCCGGAATAGGCAGTGAGCCTTCGCTCTTCAAGCGGTCGAGGAACTCCTTTCCATATGCGTAGCCGACTTGGTAGATCTCGTCGAATTTGCCGAATTCTAGGGTGCCGTATGGGTCGATAGGAGGACGCATGTATAGACAGCCAGCCGTGCTCTTTGCTCGCTCGAGATTGTCGAACGATGAGACATAGGCCAGTCGTGCTTGTATTTCGGAAAGTGTAGGTGGGTTCGGGAGTGAGGAGAAGGGATTCCACCGGTTGAACACGGACCAGAATCCTGACAGCGAGTCTCCGAATCCCTGGGGCGTGTTGTCGTCGATAGACCCAACATCAATTGCGAATATGACATTCGCTCCAAGACTCTTCATATGTGCCACGGTGAGATTGTCGATGTAGCCACCGTCCAGGAGCATACTGCCTTCATCACAGATAGGAGGCATCAGGCCGGCCAGAGTCATCGAGGCCCGGACGTACCGCCAGACGTAACCAGACGAGTGGTACTCAATTCGGGATCGACTTATGTTAGTTGTGTTGCAGTAGAACTCCAACCAGAAATCTTCGATTTGACTGTCTCCAAAGGTCTTGAAGATCCCCCGGTTGAACTCATGACCCGTGGTGTAGGAAACAGTGGGATAGGTCAGGTCCAATGCAAATCGCCACATACTCCCCATGCGCCCAGAAAACTTCTTGGCTCGCCCATACATGGGAACAACGTCAGCGTCACGCGCGTACAGAGCTCCAATGAAAGAACCGATTGATGTGCCACCGATGATATCAATTGGGATGCCGGCCTCCTCCAGCGCTTTAATGACGCCAACTTGCGAAATGCCACGCGCTCCACCTCCGCCCAGTACAAGTCCGACAGACTTGCCGCACAAACGCCGAGCCAGCCGATGGAAGTCACCCTTGAAAGGGGTTTGCGGAGAATAGAGTGGAGTTTGTTGTGCACGCCGGGACGTGTACCTTTGGATTTCAGCTTGCAGAATTTGCACACGCTGCTTCAGCACGGTGCCGAACTTCTTACTCGGTGGGTGCGAAGGCTCAGTGGTCGAGCGGAACGCCATTTGAATGTGGTGATGGCCACCGTTGATCCACACCCGGTTTTTCAGCCATTCCCGAGTGAGTCCAGGTGAACAGTATCGTTCCGCGTGCAAAAGAACGAGTTCTTTACGAGCAGTGGTCTTCATACCCAGCAGGAACCGCTCATATTCACCAATTCTGGGCGAAGACTCTGCGAGACCCACCAACAATATAGAATCAGCTTGCGCGATGCAAGTTTGAGTCCACGGTGCGTTCACGTTGGTGTCAGCGATGTACAAGACCATTCCGAATTTCTCCTCAAGATCAGCCAGGTATTGGGAAAGCTTAAGCTTTCCCATCTTACTAAAGGCATGGCGACCCAAGTGGTTCAAGATTGTCGCTTGGTTGAGTGAGGTGACACCTCTGGTCACACCAATTTGGTGCAACGCCTGCAAGAGTCTATTCCCAAATTCCACGACCGGGACGCCAGCCATGACCGGAAGAATTGCCACGGTGCGCAGATTGACTGTTGAGGTTGCAGTCTGAACACCGCCAGCATGTCCTTGTTCAATCCCTTTTTCAGACAGCGGGTGCTCGACTAAGTCACGCATTCGCTGAGCAATAAGTTTAGAGACCTGAATGGTAATTCCAGGATGTTCCTGTGCGAGGCTGTTGAAAAGAGACCGGGGAAACTTGGCTAGCTCCGTTTCGCGAATAGCATGTAAAGTAGATGGCCTCGTAGATTCAGTCATGACCTCGAGTTCGCCAACGCTCTCACCCTGGCCGTGTTCGCCAATGACAGTGATCTTACCATTCGGTCCCTCAAGGACAGACCTCAGACGACCGTTCAGAACAAGATAAATAGCATCACTTTCATCCCCTTGGTGATAAATCACCTGTCCTGCGCTGACCTGCACCCACTCTAGCGCGAAATCGATGTGGAGCAGCAAACGGGGCAGCAATCTTGTCAACCGCTTCGCCAGTGTCAACAGAGCAGCTGGATGTCTATCTGCGATTCTCTCGAGGGAAGCACGGGGAAGGAATCCGACGTAAACATCCGTCTTGGCCACAACATCGGTGTACGAGCGGTACGATGCAAGAGCACCTACATACCCTTGAATGCCACCAGGTTTGATCAGGTATAGCGATTTGCGGGACTGGGTCTTCCGTCGAGGGTCGTTGCCGCCCGCTGCACCAGGGCTGCGCGACGATGCTGTCGTTGTTCGTCTCAACTTCGGGAATAGGTCCTCTTGTGCTTGCGAGACGGACCCATGAGAGGTCCCAATTAGGGCATCATCGCGCTCATTCGCCGGAATACCCGCGTCCAAGAATCCATCAATGACGTAGTAGAGGCCTGGATGGCGCTCACCCTGTTCCACCAGAACCGAACCTTGTGGAAAGTAGACTACCTCCATGTCATGGAGGAGGTCTTCCCGTAGGTTGATGATAGGAGAGGTTCCACCTGCACTCGTCACTGACATGGAGGACACCATGGATTCGGATTCGGCGTCACCAGAGCCTTCGTAGGGATCGATGAAACCGAAGGCATTGGAGAAAACTGCCTTCTGGCGGCGGTTATCGTAAGAGAGGAGTCTCGGCGACGCCTCGCCAGAGTGGCTGCTCTTGTGCAGAGTATTGCGTGTGCCTTCAGTGAGCCCAATACCCTTCATGATACAGTCCAAGATCGACTCGCGGAAGATAGAGTCCTCGTCAACTGACTCACTTCGCTGGAAAGTCGAGGGCAGGGCATTCCTTGCAGCAGTGGATACAAATTGAGGTTGCTCCCGCTCAGTAAGAGGAGACAGGAGGCGAGGTGCCAAATGATCATGTCGCGGTCCAAACCGAGACAATTGTATTGTTGATAGCAGGTCACCGGGGCTGACACCTGCCGACTCCCTGTCGATGAATGCCGGTGATGACCTTTGTGGGGTTAAGGGTTTGAGAGGACGCTCACTGGCCGCCTTTGCTTGTAAAAAGGCTTCTTTTCTGAGAGTACTGCTCGAGCGTCCTCTACGGCTAGCAGAAGGATTGTGAAGAGCAATGCCTTTTCCAACTTCCTCCGGTCCCAATCGATCTCGCTCTCGCGTGAATTTATCCTTTAGGCGATCCAAGGCACTTCCTCGAAGATTGTTCGGAAGGTCCCAGGAGGTGAATTTAGACATTTGCCGTTCTATGTCCAAAACTTCGCTGGTCAGGCCCAGATAAGAATGCGCTGTAGCGAATGTGACCCGCTGGAGACGTGTCAGGATAACCTGAACAATGTGCGATGTTGCCCGGGGGTAGACTCTGGTCAGTCGGCGGAATGCGCTCGCTGGGATGATAGCAATCGTCGTGTCCACTGTAGCCCGTGCCACAATATCTGGGTGTACCGACTTGCGGCGTTTTCTCTGGGCATTTTGCTTACTCTCGGACCGCGGGGTCTCGCTGGGGTCCTGTCTGGGCATGGAATGGCTCTCTCCGAGGTTCAGCGGAGGCACTGGTGGCAATGTATCGCCAGATCCGTGGGCTGCAATGTTCAAGTTCCCGGCATCTCTCACGGTCGACCCGGGACTGAGGGCGAAGGTATCAGGCACATGAGTATGGCCAAGGCTAGGACTCGATAAACTGGAGCCGTGGCTTCCCGAGTTGCGGAGCTCGATGTCTTCCGTGAACAGCTGAAGAATAGAGAACAAAGACGACATCGAAGCGCCGTTCTTGACCTCAGTAAGGAGCTGATAGCCCTGTCGGTTGTGAATGTTCCGGTCCTCCTCGTCTGAAGAGGCATCATCCATATGGAGATTCTCTTGCGAGCCTGACTTCCGTTCGCGTGCAGACTTCACGAAGATCTGGACCAGCCCATCCACAACCATGCAGAAGCCCTTCTCCTCCTCCAGCATCAGTGTCTCCCCCGCGATCAGCTTCCTCGTCTGCATCGTCCGGGTCAATTCGTGAAAGACGGGCCGTTCAAGGTAGCCAAAGACTTTGATAGCGCTGAGGAATTCATCGAGATAGTTGGCAAGCCCTGGTTTTGAATCCCCTTCCTGGATATCAGGGAACAAATCGACCTGGGCTTCTTTGCGTTGAGGTTCTGGGGGCAGGCGACTGTACATGTTCAGGTACCGGTAACGGATGAACCAACTGACGGTCGATACCAGGGCAAGGAATATTAACATTCTAAGGGTGATTGATCAGCA